GGACTGGGGGGTCCGGAGGGGGGGCTCGCAAACCCGGGCAGGGCGGCGCGCTGGGCTGTCGGCAAAGGGGGCGCTCTCGCTCGCATGCGTGGCCGCAATCTGCAAGCTCTCCATGGGATGAAGCAAAGAACGGGCAGCAGCAGCACGACCGCCAGAAAGAGAGCTGCAGAGGCTCCCCAATGACCATTCAATGCAACCGCCAAAGACAAGCAGGCATGCGTGCACACTGCGCCCGCAACCCACCCCCCGGGCGCTCCTCGTTGGCAGCGCAGGCGGCGCCAAACTCGGAGACGGCGTCGACGGGCTCGTGCCGCGAAGCCGCCGCGTTGAGGCGCTTCACCACCTGCGGCGTCACGTTCCCGGACATCGAAAGACAGCATGTACTGGGCGCTGCCAACTGGGCAAAAGCACCCAAAAGCAAGACCGCTGCCAGCCTTGCAGCAGCCACCCAGGCGCATGCTGCTGCCCCAGGGCAGCGCTTTGGGCCCCTGCACGACCTTCCACGCGCTGCAACCCTTCAGCGTCGAGCCTGCCGGGCCCCACCTGCACGTACGCCTGCTCTTTGGCAGACACCCTGCCGCCCTGCGCCTCCCCCTGCCGCGGCGCCACGCTGCCGAACGAAAGGGCCCCCAATCCTGCACGGCGCCGGGGGCAGAGGGTGACCAAGGCGCATATAGTCAGGCGCCCGCAACCCGCAGCCTGCCTGCGACCTCGGCAGCATGCAGCAACACAGCCGCTGCTGGGCAGGGCGTCCAAAGCGCACCATACCAGACAACCTGGTCAAGACAGACGGCCGCGCCGCAGGCCAGATGCGCCTGAGCGCACCTGTACCGCCGCCCAGGCCCGTGTACGGCGCAATCGCCCCCAGCAGCCGCCCCTTGTCCGCCGCCCAGTCCCGCGCGGTGGCCTCGTCCAGCTGCCTCTCGAAAGACAGGATCCCGTCCTGCTGGGACTCCTGGGGGTCATTTGTTGGCCGGTTGTTGGTTGGGTGTTCGTTGGTTGGTGGTTGGTTGATGGTCGGTTGATGGTCGGTTGATGCTTGGTTGGTGGTCGGTTGGCGGTAGGTTGAACGGGGGGCAGGTGGCCGCCGGCGGCTGACGCAAGAGGTTGCGAACGCCGGGCCCCGGGCAGCGTGGGGCGCGGGGCAGAGAAGGCGTGTCCTGGTTACCATTGGGCACTGTGAACCCGAGAAGCCGTAGCCTTGAGCGAGCATGCGCTGCCGCGAGGCTGCGGTGGGCTCGCAGCAAAGCCCCTCTCGCATGTGTGTCACCCCGCCTGTATGGCCATCACCATGGTTGGTGGCCTGCCCCAACCCCCGCCTCCGCGGCCCAACCCCCGCGTGCGTTGTGTGTTGCACCTGAATCGCAGTCAGGATAGTCATTTCCTGAATCTGGGCGAGGTACTCATCCACTGTGGCGCTGTCCCCCGCAAACACGTCCGCCACTGTGGGGGCGAGCTCTAGCATCGCCACATCCTGCTGCAGCCTTTGGGAGTTTGGGGGGGGCGGTGGGGTGGGCAGGCGTGGCGGGGCGGCTGCAATCATCGGGTCTGCGCAGGGATGGACGCGAATGCCTGAGAAACCCAGGATGCTGTTCTTTGCAAAGTACAGCAGTTGCACGGCGCCGGCAGGCGGCCTGATGATTTCAAGGGCCAAGGCGGGCAGCCGGCAGGTTCGCCGGCGCGCGGTGTGCTTCGCTGCCAGCGCACCTGCTGGCGTCAACCCCCTGGTTTGCAAGCAGCCGGCTTGCGGCAGCCTGGTCGGCGGCGCTGCGGACGCGGCTCGTACGGGCGCGGGCCGTCTGGCTGCTCTGCAGCAGGCCCTGCAGGTCCCGCTGCACCACCGGGTAGCCATGGTGGTCCTGAGGCGTTGGCGGCGAGCAGCAGCGGCAGCGGGGTCGAGCGTCGTTCAAGTGCACTGGCGCAGACAATGCAGCCGATCGCCGCTGCAGCACGCACGCAGCTGTCGAGCTCTTTATCATCAAAAATCTGCATATGTTCTTTTTGAGGCACGAGCGGCTCGATCATTTTCTTCATCACGCGCCCCGCCTTCGCCACCCACGAGCTGTACAAGGTCTTGAGTCTGCGTGAGAAGATTGTGCCATTTTGCCTGATCGACGGGCATGGCTGCCCAGCTGCACCAGTGATCTGGGCTGTGATCTGACCTAGTGACAAAATGCGGCTTGCTGTGTACCTGTCAGGAGGAGAAGATAGATATGTGGCGTTTGTAAATGAGATCTGTCCACTTCCTGAGCGGCAACTCACCACAGTGCAGTACCACGTCACTCGTGGGTGCAGACTGACGTCACATCGGCGCACCAGCGCTCACGGCCCCCGTCACGAGTACGGGCGCTTGCCATTTGCAAAGTGGTACACGAGTACAGGCCCCTGATGATGACAAGACCAAAGCCTACAACAGAAGAGCTCATCAAGTTTTCTCATGCAGCCGCGGCGTACTGGGGTGGCAAGGGTAACAGTGGTTGGCGGGGAGCGCACGCAACTCAAGCGCTTCCAGCTCAGCGCGGAGCCTCAGCAGCAAGGCGACTGTTTGCAGCGTGGTGCATCATGCAGTCTGCACTTCACCTCTCCAAACGCGCCACATGTCTGCCCGATTGCCACTTTGTTTTGTTGACTGCTTCTTGCTGTGTCCAACTCTGCCTGGTTCTGGGACTCATCTGTTACAGCTGGGGCGCAAATCATTCAAAAGCACTGCGGAGCCGTCTGCCCGAGCTGTCCACAACGACCACACAAGTGTCTCAGCAGGGCAGAGGCGTAGGCTGCCTGTTCAGCGATGGGTGCCGCCCCTGCATCAGCACCTGCCCTGTGCAGGCCTGCTTGTGGCCCTCCCTCCAATCCAGGGCCTGCACATAAAAAGCAAAATTCAGTGTTGCTACTTTGAGGGGCTGGGCGCAGACAACACGTGCAAGAAGCATCGCTGCCTGGAGAGTGCTGCACTGCAAAGACGAGTAGAGGATGACGCCCAAAGAACGGTCCACATCAAGGGCGCTGAGCAATGCAGCACGCACGCGTGGTCCCTCGACCTCTAGCCACCACGTCTCACCTGGCAACTGGCGCTGCAGTACACCGTGATGTTGCATCGGGCGCACCGCTTCATCTTCTTCAGACCGGCATCTCGCGTGTTCTTTGAGCACACCGTGCAGAGGCGCCTCATACCTTCGTCCCAGCCGTCCAAGGCCCCCTCCATCAGCTCCTCCGCCAAAACTGCAGCCTCCCTCAGCGCCTGTGCGCGCAGGTCCTCTTGCGGCATCTGGACCGCCGGTGGCTCACGGCACTGCTGCAAAAGCGAGATGCGCACCCTTTTCGCGGCGTCGCAGAGTAAGGGGTAGGGGGACAGCTGCTCGGCAGCCGCCAGGATGTCGTCATTGGACGCCGCTGGGTGCTGGGTCAGCACTGCCCGTCCCTGCGGATCCAAGCATAGGGCCGCAACCAGCGCAGCCGTCGCTCTTCTGACACTCAGGAGTCTGCTACTTGCGCAGCGCACGATTATGTCCAGGACTCTGGGCGTGCGTGCTACAGCGGCTGCGCGGCCTTCCAATGCAAACAAGAAAAGAAGTTGTATTGGTCGCTCTACAAGTTCGCAATCTTTCGCATCGTCCGAGCTGCTGCTTGCGCTGCTGGCGAGCGTGGGCGCAGGCCAAGCGAGTTGCATGAAGCAGGCATGGATGTCCAGCCGCGCCGCGATCGCTGAAAGCATTGCTGGGTGGTCGGCGATAGGGGGAACGGCGTCCGCAGCAGAAGATCGGGCAGCTGTCAGCAGCAACATGTTTTGCAGCGTGCACAGCGCGACGTACGCATGCGACGTGCTGATGTCACTGTGCGCCACCATTGTGGTGAGTGCGTCGAGCAGGCCCGGCGTGCGCACCACCTCAGCACAGGCAGAGCAAGTGGAGCAGGTTGTCAGGTTGCACAGAATACCTATGGCGCGCTTGGTGGCTCGGACGACCAGCCGTTCTGTTGGCGGATTTGTGGAAGCGGTGGAAGCGATAAAACGTGCCACCTCCACGACCGCGCTCGAGCTCCCGGGCAGTCTCGTGGCCGCGACCGCGGCCGCCATCGCGACACTGTCGCCAGCGGCCATTGCGTGCAGCACCTCAACGGCCGTCGCGCGGGTCAAGGCGATGCCGTCTGGGTCAGACATCTCACGGACGGCCCAGGCCACAAGGGCGGGGCGGGCCAGGAACTGGAAAAACAAACAAACATGGGGAAGGGGAGAATCAAGCGCGGGGTCAGCACACCCGCATGACCAGAAAATCATGACGCCAAGGCATGTGGGGGGTTGACACTCGGTACGTACGTGGCGAGGGGTGCGCTTGGTACAAGCCCGCTTGCTTGAGAAGCAAGCGAGGCGCGCACCTTCAAGGACGCAAAGCTGCATGTACTGCTGCCATGCACTACAACCACTACTTGTGCATGCATGCAACTGAAAGATAACATATGCCTATTGAATGTGGGCCCACCTGCCGTGTGCGAGGCAAGCACTCGTGCACTGCGCTAGCCAGCACATGCACCCCAAAGCCGCGCAGCAGTGGGCACTTTGCAGCGGCGATGCGCTCTAAAGCCTCCAACGCCTCGCGCGTGAGTGGTCCGGTACGGTCTGAACGCAGTTCAGCGTTGACTGCTACTGTCATGCTGGAAATAAGTCCGCGCCTTTGCCGCCATGCAGCAGCATCGGCAGCAGCGTCCTCCGCCAAGGTGGCGCTCCCAGCGTCGCATAGCCGGACTATCAGGGCGCTGGCTGCGGAGTTCATGAAGGCTCACACACTGCTTCTCCAAGTAAATTGAGGGTGAGGTGGGCGATACAGCTAGCAGTGTAGATCATCAATGGTGCAGGTGCACTGCGCGCGAAAAAACGAAGACTAACCAGCAAGGTAGTTGGCAGGATCTACGGTAAGTTGTGAAGCTTTTCTATCTCATACGGTGCCCAAATGTTCACAGTAAATGTGTGTATCATAAGAGCGCAGATCTTGCAGGCTCTGTCACAGACACCCCGCGGCACAACCGCACCAAAATGATAACATAAGATTTCAACAGCAATCAGCACCAATATATACGCGACTGGCCTCCTCAAGCCATGCCCCAGAGCTCGCTGCACTTGCATCATTTCAAACCTGACAAGCTTGCAGCTGCAGCATGCAGGCGGTGCCATCGCAGCCCTTGGGTGGAGGCAACCTGGCGCCCACAGCCCAGCATGCGCCATCGTCCTGGCCACTGTACCTGCCGCGAGTCGAATTCGATCCCGAGGACCGCCGTGCTGTGCTGGTGGACGCCCTGCTGAGCTCGCTTGGGGGCGACGCCGGTTGGCAGCTGCTGCGCCGCGTGCGCACATACCTGCCGCAGGCGAGCCCAGAGAGTGACATGGTGGTCACATTGATATGGGTGGTGGGCGCATGTTGACATTCACTGTACGCTTCCCCTTCACTCCTGCGCGAAATGCTAGCATTGCCTTTTTCTGGCATGAGGCGCCCCCAACCCCCCCATGCCCATGCCCGTGCAGCATGCATGTGCCATGCCGTTCCTCATGCAGCATGCAGGACCCTCCGCCCCACCCTGGTCCCTATCCCTAGGAGTATGTGCTGTCCCTGGACTGCGAGGAGCTCCTCCAGCTGGGAGGCAGTAGCATCGACCTCGAACCTGCGCTCGAGCTAGAGCCGCTTGAGGCGCTCGCATGCATCGGCGCCGCGGCGCACGAGGTGCTCGAGGAGGGGCGCACGGCAAGCAGCAGCTTCCGCAAGGGTGCTGCAGGGGCAGCCTGGGGCGGATGCCTGCAGCAGTGCAGGTCATTTCACATGATATGGTCGATGCAGGCCCTTTATGTGCTACGCATTTGTGTCCCCTGTCCCCCAACGATACATGGCAGGCGCTGTTCGTGACTCACAAGCAGCGCACCGAGGAGCTGCCGGCAACGGCGCAGGGCCCCGGGTACGTGGCCGTGCGGCTGCACAACTACGGGCAGCTCATGCACATGCGGCAGCTGAAGTCCAAGTCCATCGGTGAGCGGCCGCCCCTCAATCCGCCGATGCATCCAGGGCTGCGTCAGGCCTCCATTGTGGATTCAAAAGCGTTGTCGACAGCAGACCCACAGGGAACTGAAGCCGTGGCACGCCCGCACTGCGCGCCGGCTCCACCTGTGCACCTAGGGCACCTGGTCACAATCCGAGGGACGGTTGTGCGCATGAGCCACATCCGGCCGCTCATTGTGGAGATGGGGTTCTCTTGCGCCAAGTGCGGCGCGGAGCAGCGTGCGGCATTCCCAGACGGCCGGTTCGCGCCGCCAACCAGCTGCACAGGTGAGAGCCGCGTTGGGGGCTGGCGCGGCTGGACGAAAGGTTGCAGGGTTGCCTGTGCTGCCTCCCGCAGCTGGCTTGACAGCGCCTTGCTGCTGCTCAGCAAACACACTGTCTGCAGCGTCAGAGCTTTCTGCAGCATGATTATCCTCAAACGCACACGTCTCCCGACCAACACACCCCCAAGGCGGCGGCTGCCGCAGCAGGACCTTCGTCGCTGACCGCCCCTCTGCCAGGTGACTCAGGAAGCCATCGTGCTTTCACCCCGCTCTGGCTCGCCCCTGGTTGTGCTGTATGTGCCCTCGGCCATCTCAAGACACCATGCTGTGCATCCCACCAACATCTGGCGTATAACTGCATTTCCTGGCGCAATATTATGTGTTAAACTGGCAGGTGCATTGACTGGCAGAAGATCCGGGTGCAGGAGCTGCTGGGCAGCGACGCACAGCAGCAGGGCCGCGTGCCCAGGACGGTCGAGGTGGGCAGGACATGCGGCGTTGCAAATCGGCCAAGACAAGCGCAGGCGGCTGCCTTCAACCGGCGCAGGAAAGCGCACGTACAACGTTCCCGGCAAACTCTTGTGCCATAAATTGACATCAGAACTGCCGCACGGGCATACCCGCGTACCAACAACCTTACCCAGGTGGAGCTCCGACAGGACCTGGTCAGCAGCTGCGTTGTGGGTGACGTGGTGACGGTGCTGGGCCTCGTCAAGGTCCTCGCCACTGGCGACCAGGGTGAGTGCAGCGGGGCCGACACCCGCCTGGGTGTGAGGAAATCTCTATGATATGCAATTGGAAGTCGAAAGGGCAAACAGGGTTGCCGTGCCCTAGAGCAGAGGAAAGCAGAAGGAAGAGCAGAACACGCGCCGGTATCTGGGGCCCTGACGCCTTTGCTTGCATCCACCCACCACCAGGCCCGCGCGGGCCCAAGGGCAAGCAGCAGGGTGGCCAGCAGCAGCAGAGCCTTTTCCTGCTCTATCTGGATGCAGTGTCTGTCGCAAACAACAAGCGCGCCGTGCGGCAGGGCGCGGGGCCTGCGGGTGCCACAGCGGCGGCAGAGGCAGGGTGGCCGCCGGGGCAGGCGCGCGATCAGGCGCAGCAGCAGCAGCAGCAGCAGCAGCAGCAGCAGCAGCAGCAGCAGCAGCAGCAGCGGCAGAGCCAGCAGGGGCAGCAGGCGCTGGCGGCGCTGCCGCCCAACATGCCGGACTTCACAGTGCGGGACTTGCAGTTTGTGCTGACGTTCCTGGGTGCGTGAACGGGGCTGGCGGGCGCGTGCGCGGGAGGGATGCATCACCGCCCGATTGCATAGCAGCGGAGGGCAGCCCAGCGCTGCTTGTTTGACCTGTCCATCCCACCCCACCCCCCAACGCTCAGAGTAATGTGCTGCAGCCTCGCCCAAAACTCTATCTCGAGCGTCCACCACACCTTGCACCTTCACCAACTGCCGCACCGGCCAACGCGCACGAGCAGAGGAGCACGAGGGGGACGCGCTCCGGCAGCTGGTGCACGCACTGTGCCCATCGATATACGGCCACGAGGTGGTCAAGGCGGGGCTGCTGCTAGCGCTGATGGGGGGCGTGCGCAAGAACGGGGACAGCGCAAACAGGGTGCCCATCAGGTGGGCGTGCTTGGTCTCGTCTGCGCCTCCAGGCGGCGATGAGGAACCTTGCGCACATGGCAGCATAAACTTGCATGTGCACCCGTCGCATGTGAGCGTATGTGCGCGCGATTCTGCGTGCCAGGGTGCTGGCGCGCGTGTGAAGGGGTGGCTGTGTCTGCATGCAGCCAGCGTGGTCCCTCCCATCAACCTGCAGCGGCTATCCGTGCTTGTGCAAGACTCTAGAAGACCCCTTGTCCACCCCCCCCCCCCCACACACGTCTTCAACCCGAGGGGTGACGTCCACGTGCTGCTGGTGGGGGACCCGGGGCTCGGCAAGAGCCAGCTGCTGCAGGCCGCGGCGTCTGCGGCGCCGAGGGGCTTGTACATCTGTGGCAACACCTCCACCGGTGCGGATGCGCCTGTCCCAGCGCCCCACGCTCGCCTGCTGCTAGTGGTACCACACCGCAGCGCACGGCAGCTTGTCCCTGTGCTCTTTTGACTGCGCCCACCCCAAGTTTGTGCCTCCATTCTTTCTTTGGTGTCCGTGAGGCGCCTTGATGTCTGAGCCCCTGCCCCGGCTGGCGCGCAGGCGCGGGCCTGACTGTGAGCGTGGTGCGCGACGCGGTGACGGGGGACTCCATGTTTGAGGCGGGCGCTGTGGTGCTGGGGGACCGCGGGGTCTGCTGCGTCGACGAGTTCGACAAGATGGCCGGGGAGCACCAGGTGGGGGCTGCGTGTGCGTGCAGGTGTGTGTGCGTGTGTGTGTGTGCGTGGTTGTATGCGTGTGTGGGTGTGTTGTATGTGGTGTGTGTACGTGCGTGCACGTGCATACATGGGGTGCACGACTGCGTGCAATGTGTGAGGGGGCCGGCATGGCAAATCAGGCACTTGGGAAGAGCAAGGTTTAGAGGATGCATTGCGGATAGATATTGCAGACGGGCAGGCTTGAACGGTCGCAGAAACCCGCAATGGTGCCAGATGGGGTTTGAGGAGGTGTTGGGGGAGGCGGCGGGAGCGGAGGGTCTGCAGGGAGACTACGCATGTCGTCTCGCCCCAGTGCAGCAGTGCTTGTACCACACTCATTCGTTCAGCAACGCGCCTTTGTTGGCGCTTTCATGCGGCGATGTGCGCGCTCCGCCTTCCTGCTTGTGCTGTGCAGGCGCTGCTCGAGGCAATGGAGCAGCAAGAGGTGGGCGCAGCACAGCACAGCAGTGCGACCATGTGTTCCTGTTGCTACTTTGAGCGCCCCGTGGTGGCGAAAATCCCTGTCTGCGCACGCCCCTACTGGTCGCATGTCGATTGCGTGTGTTGAGCACGAGCTGCTTGTGCATAGCACAGCGCAACCTGCCCACGCCAACACGATTGGTGTGCTCAAACGACGACAGGTGAGCGTCGCCAAGGCGGGGCTGGTGGCGTCACTTCCGGCGCGCACAGCCATACTGGCCGCAGCCAACCCCGCGGGTGGCCACTACGACAGAGGCAAGACGCTGCAGGCGAGCAATACTGCTGAGTCTCCCACTCAGCAGGCGCGTGGCCCTTGCCTGCACAGCTGTGTACGCTTCACGAGCATGTCTGCTCCGGCAGCGCCAGCCCTTGCCGGCAAGTGCTCTTGAGACGCCTGCGTTCATTGTACAACATGCGCACACTCACACATGCACACGTGTGCACACACACACGCTCACTCCCTCTCTGTCTCTCTGTTCCTCTCTTCCTCTCTCATCCACCCACACCCATGCGCGCGGGTGCGCCCACCTCCCCTCTGGACTCCCCTAGGAGAACCTGCGCCTGTCCCCTGCCATGATGTCGCGCTTTGACCTGACCTTTGTGCTGCTGGACCGCCCCGACGAGCTGCTGGACCAGGCCCTCAGCGAACACGTCATGGCGCTGCACAGCGGTGAGGCACGCAGGGGACCGGAAGGGCTGGGGCCAGGGTGCTGGGCGAAGCGGGCGCGCTGCGTAGCGAGCGGGCGGAGAGGCCTGGAAGCGGTTATCGGCAGCGACGCTCCCTGCACTGCCCAGGATTGGCCAGCAGGGGCAGGGTGCAGCAGTGTCTCCCGTGTTGCCAAGCCCAGCATGCCTGCTGGCGAGGGCCGCAGCTGCTGAGCGCTAGCTTGGGCAGGGCGGCATTGACCTGACCCGAGCGTCTGGTCGCACGCCGCCTGCAGGCTTGGAAGACAGGGCCAAGGCGGCGCGCCAGCGGCTGCTGCAGCACCGCGGGCCGGGCGGCAGCGATTCGCAACTGAGCAGCCAGGCGACGCCAGGCGGCGACCGGTGGGGCGGTGGTGGCGGCGGCGGCGGCGCGGGGCGGGGCGGGGCGCAGCAATTGCAGGGCGCGTCGCTGCGGCAGGTGAGATGCGACTGCCAAGCCTCCAGGCCTCAGCTGACCAGTTGCCGCATCTTGCGTAGATCGCGGTCCTGCACGACCATTGCCTCTCCGATGTTATTGTTGCATCGCGCCTGCACCCCTCTGGTGCCGCCGCCGTGCACGACTTGCCGCCGTCACGGCCCGCCATTTGCTGGCCCCCTCCTCCCCCAACAGCGGCTGCAGCTGTCTGGTTCCGACGTGGAGGCGTCCCAGCCGCTGCCCGTACCGCTGCTGCGCAAGTACATCGCCTATGCCAGGGCCCACGTCCACCCCGTGCTTAGCGACGACGCGCGAGAGGCGCTGCAGGTCAGACCTGCACGTGTTGAGCTGTGCGGTGATTTTTTGCCACTGCCAGACGTTTGTAGACGGCGTATGAATGTGTGTGTGTGTGTAATAGAGAGGGAGAGAGAGAATGTGTGTGTGTGTGTCTGTGTGCGTGTGTGTGTCTGTGTGCATGCATGTGTGGAAAGGACTGATCTCCATGTTGCTGTGTGGGCGCTGCACTTGTCGCGAGGCCTGCGGCAGCATACAGAAGCATGGTTGCGCCCAGTGACAGTGGCCCAGCATCAGCCGCTGGCGCGGCGCCTGTGCCTGCCGCCCCTGGAGCATGGAGGGGACAGCAACGCGCGCAGAGGTGCGTGCCAAACTGCCCCTGCCGGCGCCTGATGTCTGCCCTCCTCGCCGACACAGCCCCCCTTTGCGCACACGTGTTGGCAGGCGTTCTACCTCCAGCTGCGCGCCGACAGCGCCGCCCCGATGAGCGGCGGCGCGCCCATCACCGCGCGGCAGCTGGAGAGCCTGGTGCGGCTGGCAGAGGCGCGGGCGCGCGTCGACCTGCGGGAGGAGGTGACGCGCGCTGACGCGGAGGTGGGCGGACGGGCGCTGCGCCACGGGCGTCCACGCGGCGCCGGCGCAGGGGCGGCTATGCGCTGGGTGCTGCGGCCCGTTTTCGGGCAGCAGGTTGAGCGGCGGCGGGGCGGAAAGGAGGGAATGCGTGCCACAGCCTTTCGAGCAAAACCAGAGCTTCATGGCGCCTGCCGTTGCACAACAAACCCTGGATCGCGGCCTGGTCCTCGCCCCCTTACACAGCTCGAAACTTGCAAACTCAAAACCGCGGGCAACCCCAGGACGCCATAGAGATCATGTCAGAGGCCCTGCTGGCCCGCTGCGGGGGCGGGGGCCTGGGGTTCGGCGCAGGGCTGGGCCTCATCGACTTCCGCAAGGACAAGGGCAGCAGGTGCGCCGCGGGATGACGAGGGGGCGCAGCTGCCGCACGGCGACGAGGAGCAGCGCATGCAGGGCAGGGACAAGGGTGCTGGCGGCGTGGCAGCGCTGGTGGCACGTTGAGGGTGCCTGCAGTGGGGCTTTTGTCCCACTGCAAAAGCCTGAAGGCCAGGCTGTGCAGCAGCTTGTATGGTAGTTTGTGTCATAACTTACATTCTGCCAGCTGCCCTATGTTTTACCCGTCGCGTCAACGGGGCACGCAGGGATGGCCTAAGACAAGGCTGCCTGCAATCCACCCTCGCGATACGCAGGGGCGGCCGCGCGGGCGAGGCGGCGCGCTTCCTGGCGTCGCTGCGGCGGCTGGCGGGGCGGGAGCGGCGCGACACGTTTGACAAGGGGGAGTTGCAGGTGCGTGGGTGTGGGTGGCGGCTACATGAATCAAATCGGCTGCCCTTCCGCCTGGCTGGGTGTGGCAGCATCAGGAAATGCGACGGAACACAGGCGCAGGCGACGTCACGACACGCTGCTGGTGCCACTCGCTGGGTCAGTGTTTCTAAGGGTTCCATGCGCGTCATCCCATGCGAATGCTTTGCCCCTGTAATTTCAACACCTTCAATTTAGCTGGTTGCATCAGCATCAACCGTCAACCCATGCCTCTGCATCCCCACCCTCCCCCCAAAAGGAGCTGGCGTCGGAGCTAAAGATCAATGTGAGGGACATACATGCCTTCATTGATCAGCTCAACGAAGCGGGTGAGGCGCCCTCTTGTTAGCATGCATCTGTGGTGCGAGGCCCACTTAAATTCAGGACGCAAGGCCACCGCGCATCTATGATACCTTTCTGCCGTGTTCAAGCCGCCTTGAGACCCAATTGCATCATCGTCAAATCCACAGGCGACCTGCTGAAGCGCGGTCCTGGGCAGTACAAGGTGACTGGCGCCGACATCGGCCAGCCGCGGCCAAGCGGCAGCCTGGCCGGCAGCTTTTTCAATGCGGGAGGTGGCGGCGGTGCTGGCGATTGCGACGATGCGAGCCAATTTTGAGGCTGAAGGACACCTTTCTTGCCTGTTATCGGTGCAAATTCGGTGTGCAGTCTTGAAGCCACGCGGTTCCAGAGGACATTTGTTTGCGCGGTGGACACCGCGGCGGCGGTGCCCGGTCTGTTGAGGTGAAGGCTGCACACTCGCTAGCCGTGTATCTTACTGCACAAGCCGCAAGAGCTGTTCAGAGACTGTTCCGCAGGATGCTTCGATCACACTAAATTGTAATTGAAATTCGCCCATTACACGTAAAGTAACCCAGGCAAGCCCAACCGAACGAGATCATCCTCTGACCGCGCTGGTCACTGCAGCAGTTGTCAGCGGCGCACTTGCCAAAGATAACCACGCAAAGAACATTTGTATTTCAACGGACCCAAGAGTCATCGGCGCTCGGCCATGCGGTGCGTTGCGACTTGCCGCCTTTTTTGTTTGTTGGCGCACCTGAGACAGTGCTGCCTGAAATGCTATGACGTGCAGCAGTCGCTGTCACACAAGCTTCACGAACCGCATATGTTGGTCATCCTGCGTGCAGGCACCACAAGGCAGTCATGGGCCAGCAGGTTCTGCCCGTGGCCTTCGTGACAGCACTGATGGTCTGGGGAGCAGTTTCCACAGTGGCTGGAGCGACTCGCTCGAGCAGCACCCGCCACCTTACAGGGCAGCAGGTGACTAGATGCCCTCACTCTCTTCCAATAAGGCCGTCTGGGTGGACCCGTGCGCGAGGTTGCAGCAGGAGAGCGCGCGCGTGCCGCGCAGGAGAGGGATGCAGCCCTGACTGACGAGAGCCCCCGCGCCTCGAACCCCACTGCGTGGCCGCAGGTGCCTGTGCTGTTGGGCATGGCCGACGTCCAAAAACACAAGCAGCTCAGGATGCTGGCGTTCGGCGACTCAATAACGGGTGTGTGCCCCGTTGGCGAGCCGAAAACTGCCTGGCGGTTGCGCTGCTGATGCCGCTCGGCCAAGCACAAGTGGGGGTTGCGAGCGACTGCGCACTTGTACGGAACGGGCCGTGTTGCCTTCTGCACTGTAATCAAATCTCAGTAGCAATGTTGCCGCTTTGCATGTGCATCGTTTTGCAGAGGGCTGGATTGACTCCACCGAGGTGCGTTGTGAATGGCAGTCGCGCGCAGATGCCGCAAGGCAGAATCCACGCACCCGCTCGCGGAGCCCTGTCCAGATCCAAAATCGCCGGTCTGCATTGCATCAAGGTATGACCTGCTGCTTCTGGAGTGTGTGTCAATACATAACACAAACCTCAGACCCGCCCTGGCCTGAGTGGTGTTGCATCGATACCCTTTGCACCCCTGCAGGAGAAGCACCCTTACACATGGCGGCTGGAGTCGATGCTGCGAGACCGCCTGGCACCCAAGGGCATCAGCGTGCAGGTCACCAACGGTGGTGAGGGCCCCGCCCCGCACAAACATGGCTGCATTCCCACTCCCGTCACCCATCCAGCCGCCCTTCTCACAGGGTGTCTCGTGCCTGGGCCTGGTCCCCACGGCCATCATAGTAGTTCCCTTCTCTCCCAACCGTCACGACCGACGCGAAACAGGCGTTGGCAGCGCGGGCGTGCTGGACAGGCTCAATGACGCGCTGCTGGGCCAGCTCAAGGCTGCGCGCGATGCGGGGCGGCCGTATCACTATGTGGTGTTCCTGGCTGGCATCAACGACATCCTGCTGCAGTGAGTTGTGCGTGCGCAACTGCCAGCGCGTGCAAGCGTCTTGCATGCGTGCGTCTGAGCCTCTTTGCGTGTGTGTGTGCGTGTGTGTATGTGCACGCGCACACACGCACATGTGTGCGTGTACACGCATGCGCTCTTTGTAAGCAGGAACACAGCTTTCATTTGTACATGCTATTGCGTGTGCATGTGTGATGTGTGGACGTGTTGGTTGGATGGGTTACTGTGGAATGCACTGAATCAATCTAGTGGCCGCTCCAAAACTATCCTGCTGCTATCGCCCGTGCGACCTTAGGCTCAGCTGGCTTGTTGCCAAGTGGCGCACCAGCCGCACCAGGATTGCGAGCTGTCGCTTCAGGTGGATTAATTACTGCGCCACAGCAACGTCGCTTCTCCTGACAATACCGTGCTGCTGCCTTACCCCACGATGCAACCCCAGGCACCGCAGCGCAGATGACATCATCGTGCGCATGAAGGAGCTCTGGGCCGCCACTGCAAAGGACGGATCCACCACCGTGGTCATACCCACCCTGCCCACCAACGTCAAGTGAGGATTTAGGGGTACATCGCATCTGCCCCGCCCCGCTCTGTGCCTGCCCATGTCGTGCATCCATCGTAGTGCCAGCAGCCAAACGCGCACATCCGGCCGGCATGCTCTCATTTCACAAGACCGACCTGCCCTTGGCTCCCGGTGCGTGACAGGGAGGGCGAGGCGACCCGCAAAGCCCTGGTCTCCCGCATCAAGGCCGCGGTGAGGGACCACCGGAAGGCGGGTGACGCCAGCCTGCAGCTGCTGGACCTGGAGCCAGAGATCAACTGGTGGGCCATGAGCCCGGAGCAGCGCGCCAAGGTCTACGACGACGGCGTGCACCTCACCGACTACGGCTACCAGCAGCGCCTGGCGCAGCTGATATTTGACGGTCTCGTGAAGATCCTCAAGATCTGATTTGCGATGAGGTTCTGCAAGGTAGACGTAGCTCGTGGCGCGGCAGCGTCGCAATCCGAGGCAACTAGCCCGTTGTTCGTTTACATGGTGGCGTACGCTTTACCGCTCACTTCCTCTTTGCATAGCCTGCTGTGGGCCATCGCATGTGCATGTCCACTTCCTCGCACAGAGTCTGATCCTTCAGCAGACCTGCTGTCTGAACATGCAACTGCAAACAATTGTCAAATTTGAGTTGACTTGTATGCAAGGTTTGATGGAAGGTAGCCATGAGTTCACTTTTGTACATACCAAACTGACTCTCGACTGCTTGTGGGTTTCACGCAATATATTGTTTTGCAGATCCGTTTCTGTGGCTCAAACTTTCAGTTGAGTAGCTGTCTCACCCGAACAAGCTACTTGTACTGCACTGCATGCCACAAGAGAACGGCCTCCACTGTGATGTGCCCGATGTGCTGTCAAGCCATTCTGGTGCACAATGGTGCCTGGTCTTCACAAATTATCATGGGGTGGCGATTACACCTCAGCGCTAGCATTTTGTGGCTGGTCAACGAAGGTCATTATGCGGCCGGACGGCACGACCACCCATTTGAGTGTGCTCAAATAGGGGCCCGTATGCTTGTCAGCGGCGTCGACGGCTGCAGCATGCCATCGCACACAAATGTAGCAGTTCCGTGGCGTTTGATACGCTCATCCAGCCACCAGTGCCGATGACGCAGAGGATGTCACTGCAGATCACCTATGTGATGCGCACAGGATCTTGAACACTTCGTATCGCCTATATCATATTCTCCTCATTCATCGGCCGACGGAATCCCGCTTCCAGGAACATCGGCAGACTTTCATCAACGCATCTTCAGCAGAGCCTGTTTACAGCAACACCCAGACCGCGAGCCAACGACGCGCAGCGCTGATATCTTTGGTGGTTGCCTGCAAGCGCATCTTTCGCAGCCCAAGGCGCGCAGGAACAGCAGCAACGGCCACCTGGTGACTGCAAGACACACCGCCGCACACCAGGTTGCGCGCCCCGCCGAAAGCCCCTAGCACCCCAACATGGAATGCGCAGACAGTCTACTGGACGATCCAGCGCTCGCCGCGGCACTCGATGCGGCACTCGAAGCGGCGCCAGACGGCCACTTTGGCCTCCTCGACGCGACGCTGCTCGCCTCGCCAGCCGCGGCGGCGAGCGCAACGTCCGGGCCGCCGCAGAGCGCAGTGATCCATGTGCCAGAGGGACATGTGCTCGAGCAGGTCGCACCAGGCGTGTTTGTGATGCGGCCTGCAGGCGCGCCCCCGGTAAGCGTCTCCTATGCCCCTGCGGCGCAGCAGCACCAGCAACCGCAGCAATACCAGCAACCGCAGCAATACCAGCAACCGCAGCAGCCGCAGCAGCAGCAGCAGCAGCAGCAGCAGCAGCAGCAGCAGCAGCAGCCCCAGCCACTGGCGGAGCAGTTTGGGCAGGCGTTGCACCAGCAGCTGCAGGTCAAGCAGCAGTCGGACCCGGAGGCGCTGCCGGCGGTACTGTGGCCTGGCGCCGCCCCGCCCGCCGCGGCGACGCAGCGGGCCCCCAGGAAGAAGCCGCCATCCGTTCTCTTTAGGTGAGACGGTTTCCACGATTGCAGAATCACCCGCAATGCCACCCATGCGGGCACGGGTGACCATGTCAACGCCACCACGGGGGCACAGCCCCGAGGCTTGCTATGTCCTATGCGGCTGTCTCGCCGCATGCGGGCCCGTGGCCCGCACGTGCAGCGGCTGCCGTTCGCTCGCCGCCGACCCGCGACGGTTACACTCCTCTCCACAGGGAGCGCCAGAAGGGGACGATCACTGAGCTCGAGGGGCAGGTGGTGAGCAAGCTGGAGGAGCTGCGGCTGCTGAGCCAGGAGAACAAGGTGCTGCGGCTCAAGACCAGCGTGCTGCAGCGCGCGGTGGACGGCTGGAACGAGCAGGTGGGGCCGGTCAAGGCGCCGCGGGCTCAAAGGCGATGGAGGGTCTGGGGAATGGCAGGCAGCGCCTGTCAAGCTTGCTGCATGGGCCCGTTTTTTCTCGGTGCTTCTGCTGTGTTCGAGGGTCCCTTGCTGCCACCACCCACTGAAATCAACCCATGCAAACACCTGATTACGTGATCTGATAATCAGATCGACATTATGCAAACCCTTGGATCGCCCAGCGGCGAGCGCCAGACCCCGAGCGGCAGCCACAGCAGCGGTAGCGCCCGCTCGAGCAGCGCCGCCGCCGCCGCTGGCTTGGCCAGCAGCGCGGACGGCGCGAGCGCCAACGTCGTCGGCGGCGGCGGCGGCAATTCGCGCATATCGACGGACGGCGCCTCGCCCCGGCCCACGCCGGAGCCGCCGGCCGACTGCGACTCCCCTTGCTGGTGGCGGCTGAAGCATGCGCCCGACCCCGCGGGCTACGTGAAGCGCATGGGCATAGAGGACACAAAGCAGCTGTGGCGGGAGTTCGTTGGCCACGCGTCCCGCGCGCTGGCTTCGCTCCAGGCAGAGGAGCAGCAGCAGCAGCAGCAGCAGCAGCAGCCAGGCAACGCCCAGTCCGCCAGCGGCTCCGCGGCGTCGCACGACAACTTCCACGCAGCGGCTGCGGCGTTTGACCCGCTGGAGGAGCACCAGTTCCTTTACTACGGCACCTCGAAGCTGCCGGACGGCTGCCCGCCCGGCAGCGCCCTCGCGCGGATATACACCCTGGTGCGCCGACAGCGCAGCCCGTGCCGTCACTTCTTGAGGTCCCTGCAGTCCTGGGTTGGCCGTGCGATCAAGAGATCGGTGCCTGCAGGGCCGCCGCACTCACACGCCGCCATGCAGCCCCTTTCTGATCGTGATCGACTCCAGCGGGTCTTGCCTAAATTGCTTGCATGACTGATGGGATGCGATGTGCTGCTGCCCGCTGCAGGTCAACCGCTACTTTGGCGCGATCAAGCACACCCACCTGCTCAACCCACGTGAGCGCGCATGACCGGCCTCCGGGCCGCCGCTTGTGGCAGCCCACCCAGCCGACCCTTGGTCCGTCGGCCCTTCACCCAGTCACCTGCACTCGTCACCCTCAAACCCACTTTCATCCCTCCCATGTTGCCCTCACCGTCACTCCACCCTCACCCTCACGCTCACCCCTTGACCCCACGCTCACCCTTCCTCGTACATCTCATCACCTCGGGACCCACAACCCCGGCCACCCGCCCGCACGCCCCCCTCCCTGCATGCACCCCAGCCGCGATCGACACGCTCATCGGAGTCAACCTGCAGACTGGCGGCGCCCAGCAGGTTCCCTGCGGCTTCTGGCGCGGCGTCGTCGCCAAGCTGGCGTTCACGGAGGAGCAGGTGCGCAGCTTCCCACTACGCACCCCCAGCTGGCTCCTGGCGGAGCGCCGCCGCGCCGCCCCTGCCAGCAACCACACGGCGCCGCCGTTGGGCGCCTTGCCCCATGCGCTGCGTCTGCCGCCCGGCGCGCTCTAGGATTCCGTCAGCCCAGGAGCCCCGTCGGCCGACAAGCGCCGCCACGCCCATGTGCTTTCGCTGCGCACCCCCCTTTTTTTATAGGTGGAAGACCTCTGCGCGATGCACGAACTGTACACACGCCACGTCAGCCCGTAAGCACGCCGCGCCGCCTCCAATGCCGCCGCCTTTCCATCCTTGCTTCGGATGCGTTGCCCGGCTGAGTGCGACCGGGGGACCGCTGCCGCTCAGGGCGGCTCTCTGATATTTGGGAGGGCCAACCAGCTTGCATTAGGGCTGAGACCCCTGGCCCGCGCCATGAATTCGCCTTGTGCTTGTTGGAGCCGTCAGGTTCGGGGCTGTCGTACTTGGCTGACCGCCGCCGCCTGCGTTGGTCGCACCGCGGCTCTTGCGGCAGGGTCCTGGCGGAGCGTGCGGCCCTGCAGGCGCGCGTGGGGCGCACCGACTCGCTCGTCTCCGAGATGGAGGTGACGCACGCGCTCAGCGCCAACATCAAGAAGGAGCTGTCCCTGAGGTGCTGCGCGGCGGGGGCGGCGTGGCCTGGGGCTGCGCCTGTCGCGGAGGGACTCTGTCGCTCAAATTGTGTGGGGTGTGCTTGCTGCATGCGTGTGCTTTCGGACGGTGTTTTCCATGGGTGTCGAAATGCCGCCCAGCTGCAAGGCTGATGCGATGTTTGCGCTGGAAGCATTTGCCTCTACACGCATGCGTGCGACCCCCCCCCCCAAACACACACACACACACGCGCGCGCACGCACACACACGCTCGCGCGCGCGCACAGACGTGTCCGTGCAGGTGCACGTGCACGTGTGCAGGCGTGCTTGCATGCGTCCGTGCGCACACGTGCACACAAGCACGCATACACCCACAAACACGTTCACACACTCAAGCACCCAGACCCGTGCACACCTCACCCCCGCCACAGGCTGCTGCTCCACGCGTTCACGTACGATCGCGTGTTCACGCCGTTGCAGCTGGCGCGCGCAGGCGTTCACTCGTTCCCCATGTACCCGGACGTGAGGAGGGGGGGGGGTGGTCCGCGCTTGGATCAGGGGCGCAGGGGTGGGGGGTTTCAACTCAGGGGTGACGTGCGCAGTCATGGGTTTGAACCAGGAGTCGCGGTTCCCGTGAGTCGGCAGGTGGAGGCGACAGGCGCCCAGCACGCGGTGCGAGCAGGCGGCGAGGGCGGCCTGCAGCCGGCCGCTTTCTGCACGAAAGCGCGACGCCCCCCTCAACGCGCTCGCCTGCGCTGGTGTCCCCGCCCGGTGGGCATGCTGCTGCCCCCTCGCAGGTGTATGCGATGGTGAGCCTCACTGCTCAGGGGGCGGCGGAGCAGCATATGGGCGGCCCCAGGCAGCCCGTGTTCCCGCCGAGCGAGGGGACGGCGGCCGACGCGTCTGGCTGCTGACGTGCTGGTTGCTGGATTTGTTTGGATGACCAATCCATGGTGATTTCATGGCTATGTGACAAAGGCACCCTCGCCTCAATCGGTTATGATATGTACATGTTACAAGGTTGGGGTTGCTCAAGGGCAGAACAGGGCCTTGCGCAGGTGCTTGCACGAAAGCGAGGAACGGTCGTGCCTGCCCCGCTTTATGTGACGAGGCTTCCCCAACCCCTCAGCGGCCCATGTCCATCCGGCCCTCCTCCTCCTTCTCCTCCTCTTCATGCACACGGACATACACACCTACACACCACCACCACCACCACCAGCATCCACCCATTTCACCCAACTGTAAATGCGAACCACCTCGGATGCTGAAGAGTTGTGCTGGATTCTTCTTCGCTTGCCCCGTCCCTTAGCCGATGCTGCCCTGATTTTTGAAGCAGCACATAACAAGTTGATCGACCCCAGCAGGCGTTGCAGGGTGTCACATGACTCATGCCGTCTAGATCAGCGCTAATCACGGCAGTCGGTGAGGCACCCGCGCACCAGCAGTGCCGGGCAGCGACGTCGGCGGGCGCTCCAGTCCGCATTGCAAAGATTTTGGTCGCTATTACTTTCTCCATCACTCAGGTACTCACCGGACCCCACACGGCAGGCGGAAGTCAAGACCCTACACAACATGCCGAAGCGATTACGACGGCCCCTATCCGATCTTCCTCATGAGCCGGTGCGAGCTACACTTTGACGATCATCCATTACCAATTGCATGTGTCAATTAGGCGCGGCAGTACGTCAACCTGACCACAACGCACCTACCCAGTCCCCGCCGCGCACAGCAACTCACGCGTGCAATGGAGGGCGGGGCGACCTTGGCATCCGCGCCGTTTGGTGCTGCCCCCCTCAAAGCAGCAGTCCCACAGTTGATTCAGGTGCCAGAGGGCCACATTTTGCAGGAGGTCGGGCCCGGCCTCTTTGCGCTGTGCCCAGCCGGACCCGTCCAGCTGCGGCAGCAGCTGTGCGTCCAGCAGGAGCAGCAGCAGCAGCAGCAGCAGCAGCAGCAGCAGCAGCAGCAATGGTACCAGCAGCAGACGCTGCAGCAGCAACAATATCAGCAGCAGGAGCAGCAGCAACCTTTGCCGATGCAATTCGAGCAGGCTCTGCAGCAGCGGCTGGCCCAGCAGCAACAACAGCAGCAGCAGCAGCAGCAGCAGCAGCAGCAGCAGCAGCAGCAGCAGCAGCAACAGCAGTGGGATCTTCAGCAGCAGCATCTCCAGCAACAGCTGGAGCAGCAGAAGCAGCAGCAGCCCCTCCCCCTGCAATTTCAACAGGCGCTGCAGCAGCAGCTCGCGCAACAGCAGCAGCAGCTTGCGCAGCTGCAGCAGCAACAGCAGCTGCATCAGCTGCAGCAGCAGCAGCCTGTGCAGCCGATGTGCCTAGACCAGCCCCTGGCTGCCCACCAGCCTGTCCCGCTGGCCGAACTCTCCGCACCTGTCTCGTCCCCGCCGGCCCCAGCCAAGAAGAAGCCCCCCTCAGTCCTCTTCAGGTGCGCCAGCGCCGGCCGCCCGCACGCGCCGCCCTGCAGCGCGATGACGGGGCCCGTTCAGCCGCGCCGCCGCTCAACACTCATACCTGGTTGCTTCTTGGGCGGGGAGGGAGGGGCGGGCGGATCTGCGTTCCCGGTCGACAAATCGAATCAGGGCGGTCAACCCATGAAGCTGCCCCTGCCTGCGCTGCCCCTCCTTGCTTGACCTCTGGCAATCATTTTGTGACTCTCCACAGCCTCGCAGCATGGCCAGCCTTGTACCTGGTGTAGGGTGAGCCACATTCAGTATCAAACCAACAAAGATCTTGCCTTACTTATCGTAGGGAGCGCCAAAAGGGGCTGATTCAGGAGCTGGAGAGCCAGGTCGCCGCGAAGCTGGAGGAGCTGCGGCTGCTGAGTCAGCAGAACAAGGTGCTCAAGCTGCGGACCAGCGTGCTGGAGAGGGCAGTGCAGGGGTATGAGGACAAGGTGAGCGGGCGTGGAACCTGGGGCTTGGGGGACGGCTGGGCATCGCCGGCGCCCTTGCTGCGCACTGCGGACTGCTGGAAGGTCCATGAAGCTCGACATAATCCCCACACACTCGTGTCACACACACACACACACACACACACACACTCTCTCTCTCTCTCTCTCTCTCTCTCTCCCTCGCTGAGCCCCGGCCGTCAACCCGCCGCCCCTCCTAAACCGCAGATCCAGCTGTTCCAGACGCTGGGCTCCCCCCTGTCCCTCCGCAGCGACCCCTCCTCGGGCCACTCCCTCAGCAGCACCACCTGCTGGCGCCAGCCCAGCAGCGCGTCGCTCGAATCCGCAGACTTCAAGGACGACGGCGGAGCCCTCGCCGCCGCCGCTGCGGCGGGCGGCGCCAGCCCCGAAGGCCCGGAGCTGGAGGCGCCGGCGCCTGCGCCCGCGGCCCCTGCCGAGCCTCCGGCTGGCTGCGATCACCCGTGCTGGTGGCGCCTGAGCCACGCGCCCGACGCCGCGGCCTACGCGCGGCGCTTCACGGTCGAGGACATGCGGGCGCTGTGGCGGGAGTTCATCGGTCTGGCTTCCCGGGAGCTTCTCACCATGCAGCGGGAGGAGCAGCAGACGGCGTTCCCAATCGGCGCCGGCGAGTACGAGCCCGCGGCGCCGGCCGCGGAAGACGTGGGGCCGGACCATCCGTTCCTCTTCCACGGCGGTCGCGCGAAGCTGCCCGACAGCTACACCCCAGGCACCGCAAGGGCAAGGATCTACACGCTGGTGCGTGCCGCTGGGGATTTTGGATGGTGGGGGGGTTTTCAAAATGGGATTTTTGCAGGCAGGGGCCCTGCCTTCGGCTCTCTTGTCGTCTGGGAGGGGGCTGCCACTGGGACGGGGCTGCCACTGCAGTGCTTGCGAGCGGCGAGCGAAGCGGTTCGGGGCTTTTTTTCCTGAGCTGTCGTCTCCTCGCGCGCCCCGCACCCCGCAGGTGAACCGGTACTGCGGCTCCATCAAACACATGCACGTCCTCAACCCACGTGAGCAGCCTGAGAGCCGCACCCACGCCCCACTGCCGCGGCTGTTGGCCCCACCACCCCCTCCCCCTCCCCCACTCGCGTCGCCCCAGCCGACAGTCCGCTGCCCTGATGCACCCCACCCACGGGCAGCGGCACCCCACGTTTTTGGCGGCACCCCCGTGCGCTTCACGCTCGTCAGCATTTGCACGAGAACGCTTCCTCAGCGTTCTCTCTAGCGCTGCTCCGCAGTCATTCACGCCCCCCTCCTGCGCCACGCCGCCCCGCCCGGCGCCGTCCCTGTTGCCACTCTCCCATAGACGCCGTGGACGGCATGGTGGGCGTCAACCTGCAGACTGGTGCGCCGCAGACGCTCGCGGCCAGCTTCTGGCGCGGCGTGGTGGAGCAGCTGCAATTCAGCGAGGAGCAGGTGAGGGCGAGGGGGGGAGGGGGCGGAGCACGCGGGTGGCGGCGCGGGCGCGGGCGGGGCGATCGCCCGGCGGCCGCGGGCCAGGGGCGCGCCGCGTCTTGGCACAGGGACCAGGGAGCGCGGCCTTGGCCCGGCCGGCGGCGCGGGTATGCGCGGCACGCAGCGAGGCACGGGCCAGGGTCTGCGCGCTCCGTCCGCTGGCCGGCGACCGCCGGTGGCGCTGGAGGCGCCGCGCAGGCCGCGGCCCGCAGGACGGGCCCCTCGCAGCGCCAGCCAGCCCTCCCGTGAACGCCGGCCCACCCAATCCGCTCCCCGCACTGTGTGCCTCCACACACAGGTCGAGGACGTGTGCGCCATCCACGAGCTCTTCACGAGCCACGTCAGCGGGTGCGCCAAAACGCGCGCGCCGCGGCCCCTGCGGCGGCGCCCGGCTCGCCCGGCAGGCTTTCGAGGCCGCCAACAGCGCACGAGGCCCGCTCGCCGCCGCGCCGCCCATCTGCATGCATATCCCTGCACCCCCTGCCCCTGCTATATTATTCCTGCGCCTGTCCCCGCGCCGCGCAGTGTGTATGAGGAGCGCCACGACCTGCAGGCCAGGATGAAGGTGTCCGAGTCGCTGGCGGCCCAGATGGAGGCGTCTAACCAGCTGGTGGCCAACATTAGGAAGGAGTTTGGGCTCATGTGGGTGTACCCCCGCTGAAAGCCCCCCCGAGCGTGCGTCCGCGCGTGCGGCCGAGTGTGTGTGTGTGAGAGAGAAAGTGCATGTGCGCGCGTGCGTGCGTGCGTGCGTGCGTGCGTGTACGTACGCGTGTGTGTATGTGGCTCTGTGGTTATATGTACGCAGGATTGAGTGTGCTTTGCATGCAGGAGCGCAAGCCAGAGCTCTCCGCACCAGAATCGTGCCCAGCCTCAACGCCAACCCCAAACATCCCAGTCACGTGCCTCCCGCCGGCCCGGTCCCGCGCCCCCTCCCATATAATTTGAACGGCGCCGCAGGGTACTGCTGCACAGCTTCTGCTTCGACAAGGTGTTTACCCCACTGCAGATGGCGCGCATGGCCGTCTACTCCTTCCCCATGCTGCCAGACGTGAGCGCCCCTTGCTTCCCACCCGTCACGTGCACACTTCCAACACACGCACCCACACGTACGCACACACCACACCCACACACACATGTACACAAACCACACAGAAAATTTTTTCAGGGGCTGCCGTCCCTGCTGTCACCAGGCGACTGAAGGGCGTCCGAAAGCTGCAGCCTGCCTGCCGCCAAATTGCAGGCCACAAACGCGGGCTGGCCTGGCTGTCCTCGTCGCTTTGCATGCGGCTCCATCATTGGTGGCCGTTGACAATAAGCCCCTTCCAATACCAAAAACCAATATCGACACCACACACCTCGTTTGACGCCCAAACACCCCTTCCCGCCGCTCCTCCAGATTTATGCTGTCGTCTGCTTCACCGCTAAGGCTGCCGCGGAGCGTTCCCCGGACGGCTTGCGCCTGCCCGTCTTCCCTTCCCACCCCTCGCAGCGCTGCGGCGCCCCCGGCACTGGAGCGGTTGCCGCCACCATTGGCGGCGGGGGTGGGGACGGCGCAGCCGCGGTATTGGGGCGGCTGGGATCTGTCACCGCCCTTGAGGCGCAAGCCGCGGCGATCCGCGGCCGCATGGTTTGACCATCCGTTGGAGGCTGCTTGATCGATGTGCGTCCACCTGTGTTGTTGTCGTCGAAACGCAAGGGGGTGCCATGTACTTTTCGTGCGCGCTGGTACTTATTGGTTCACGAGAGCCCCAAGATTTGGTGGCACCTTGTTGCTGCCTTTCCTGGTCGGCCTGAGGGGAACTGCTCAGGACAATCGACTTTCAACGCAAACACCTCACTATACATGAGCAAACTGCACTGTTGCACGCACTTGTCCGTGAGTCCTTTGACGAAGTTGTACATGCTGGGACTCCTGTGAGCCTGTTTGTGTGGTCGTGGGGGTAGGATCCGTCCTCGTTTGGGTCGTTCGTGGGGGCGGTCACACGCCAGCGCCCACGCCACACACTTGCTCAACCACGAAGACCTGCGTTTCCCCGGCTCATGATATCTGATGAATCCACGCACTGCATGTTTTCTCCCGCCCCACAGCCGCGGCCCTTTGCCGGCTCGCTCGTGCCGGCCCCTCCAACGGCGCTTTTCGAATCGACCCCCACGGCGCCTCCCTTTGCGCCACCTCGGCACGTCGTCCTGCCTTTCCAGTCTGACGCGGACCACATTCACTGGGCCGATTAAACGGTGCACGGCAATCATGCATGGGGTTCGTCTGGGTCATGCAGGGGCTCGTCACAGCGAGCGTCAAAGTCTGCCATCAGCGCCGCAGCAAGTTGAGCGGGGTGCCGTGATGCCAGCGCTTGTGGGACGCCACCCAGGAGCGACATCCTGCTGCATGGCTCCAACACTTATGTAACGGTCGTGATGCAAGGTTTGGTGCAAATGAGACACACAACAAGACGAGCGACTTCCAGCATGCTTCCTGCACAAATCAACATACGGCTTGCAACCGCCAGCTCGATGTATTTGAGCAGTCATGCCTGGGTTCTCAGCTGCGATACTCTTGCAATCGAGGGACTAACAAGGCGGGAGCATGAGATGGGGCAAAGCAAGCTTGGACTGTGCAGCACCATTCATTGCATTCAACTTTCGGGATCCTGGCGAGCGGCTTCGCAGCCCAGTCGCAGATTACGAGCGGTTCGGCACGTGAATTAGATATGGTACTACGGTAGCTATCGCGCCAGACCCACGTAAATGTGCAGGAGTCACTCGCCCTGAAAGTTCTGCGCTCTAATACGATCCAAGGAAACCCCCGCCGGGGCTTAATCAGCTCACTGTGAATATGCAACACGTTGCGCATAGAGTTTAGCAGACGGCTTCGACCCGAGCAGCACACTGCGCTTCCTTTCGTCATCGCACAGTCGCGCGCGCCGGAGAGCCGCAAGGTGCTCGGCTGCGAGTGTGTGTGCAGCTGTCAACCGCCGAGTAGCCACGATGAGCACCGCACTGCAACGGCAATTCATTGAGGTGCCTGAGGGGCATGTGCTGGAGCAGGTCGGTCCGGGGCTATTCGCGTTGCGCTCTACGGGCGGACCTGTGCTTGGCGCGGGAGCTTCGCTGCCACTGCCGCAGCCGCAGCAGCCGCAGCCGCAGCAGCAGCAGCAGCAGCAGCAGCAACAGCAGCCCATCCTCTGGCAGCAGCCGCAGCACCAAAACTTCCTTCCACCGCAGCAGCCGGGCGCCGTTGAAGTGTCGCTGCCCTACCAGGAGCAACAACAGCAGCAACCGCAAGTGCAGCAGCAGTATTACCAACAACATCAGCAACCTGAGCTGCAAGAGCAGCAGTATCAGCAATTGCAGCAGGGGTACCAGCAGTATGAGCAGTATCAGTACCAACAAGAGCCAGTGCTGCAGGCAACGCAGCAACAGGCTCCCTTCCAGCAGCAGCAGCTGCAGCAGCAGGAGCAGCCGCTGCAGGAGTACCAGCTGCCACTGCCACTGCAGTTCCAGCAGGTGCTGCAGCAGCAGCTCATGCACATGCAGCCACAGCAGCAGCCGCTGGAGCCGCTGCAGCCGCTGGAGCCGCTGCAGCCGCTGCAGCCGCAGCAGCATCCCGCAGGACTGGCGATGGATGCAGCGGCGCCGAAAGTCGCAAAGAAGAAGCCGCCTTCCGTCATTTTCAGGCACGGTACCTTTCCTGTTCGGTTGGCCCTGGGTGTCTGATGCTGCAGCACGGTGTATTGCATATGCTGCATGCGCCTTTACGCTTTTCAGCTCTTCCTACAATGGCTGCGCTCGGGACAGAAGGTGCTGAGCGCCCCGAGGGGCAGCTGCTGGCGGCGCCACCTGCATGCACCCATGTGCCCAATGCACTGACCGCTTGAAGTGGCCTGGCTGCGGGCACGCCTGGATGACGCAGGGAGCGTCAGAAGGGGCTGATAAGCGAGCTGGAGGGCCAGGTGGTGACGAAGCTGGAGGAGCTGCGGCTGCTGAGTCAGCAGAACAAGGCGCTGCGCCACAAGACCAGCGTGCTGGAGCGCGCTGTGGAGGGCACCGAGGAGCAGGTGCGCTGTGTGTGCTGTGTCTGATGTGCGGGCGAGCTGTGCACGCTGCGCATGCGACCTGCGCGTGCTGTGCACAAGTGTACACGCATGCATGCCATGTGCGCGCGCTGCCAGCGCGCGCACATGGCATGCACATGCACACATGTTTGCGAACGCTAGTGCACACATGTATGTGCGTGAGAGCGAAAGAGAGAAAAAGAGAGAGGCAGAGAGAGTGAGAGAGCATGTGTGTGTGTGTGTGTGTGTGTGTGCGTGTGTGTGTTTTGGCGCACGCGTGCAAGCGCGCGTGTGTGTGTGTGTGTGTGTGTGTGTG